TAATTACATTCTCACAACTACTTTTCTACATTGTCTACTAAGAAGTTGATTGTCAGATTTTAGGATCAGCAAACATACAGAACCCTCCAATGTGCATGCTATGTAATGACTTCACCCTTAACTATCATGTAAAATTTGAAGAGCCTGGAATATTAAGATACAGATAATTATTTCTACTTAGTGTGCTCACAGTTGTTAAGTTATGGTGATAGCTTAAATAGAAGAAGCCTAATAACCAGGTGATGTAGAAGAGTAGTTGAGTTACAGATTTTTTTAGCCAGATGACCAGTATTCAAATGCTAGCTTTGCAACTTGGTAGCATCCTAAGTTTGTCCAGGTTTCTATGAGAATATCGTAGATGAGGTGGTTTATAGACAATAGAAACTAGAGCCTGGGAAGTTCAAGATCAAGGTGCTGGCAGATTCAGTGTCTGGTGAGAGCCCACTTCCTAGTTCATAGATGGCAATCTACAGGCTGTGTTCTTTCATAATGGAAAAGGCAACACACTCTCTGGGGTCCTTTTTATAAGAGCACTAATCCCATTCATGAGGGCTCTACCCTCATGACCTAACCATTCCCCAAAGATTTCACCTCCTATTACTATCACCTTAGAGGTATATGTCAACATCAGGATTTTTGAAGGACCATATTCAGCGTATAGCAGTAGCTATGTGATGTTATTTTTTTTTATTGGACTGTAATTGCTTTACAATATTGTGTTAATTTCTGCTGTACAACAGCATCAATCAGCTATACTTACATATATACTCCCTCACTCTTGAACCTCCCACCCACCCCACCCCTCCAGATCATCACAGGACACTGAGCTGAGCTCCTTGTGTTATACAACTGCTTCCCACTAGCTATCTATTTTACACAGCATAATGTAAAGGGGATGACAGAGGATTAGATGGTTGGATGGCATCACTGACTTGATGGACATGAGTTTGAGCAAGCTCTGGGAGTTTATGGTGGACAGGAAAGCCTGTCACGTTGCAGTCCATGGGGTCACAAAGAGTCAGACAGGACTGAGCTACTGAACTGAACTGAACTGAGTGTATATAATGACAAGTTATTTCATGTGTCTCAGTCTCCTCACCTTTAAAAGAGGAATAGTTGTGCAAATTAAAAGTGTTACTTTTGGACAGTTACTAAGAACACCCAGTAGTTCTACAGACACTCCTAAGAACACTCCTGGCATGCTAGTTATTATAATTATTACTCTAATAATAAATGGCAGGGGTTGCAAGTTACTCCACTCCACATGGTTCAATCAATTGAATATTATCTGAGAGCCCATCATATAACTGCCACTGTTAGGTCCTTGAAACAAAAAGGTGGATAAGACCTGGCCCTTGCCTCAACTCACAAGATATATTAGCCTAAAAGGAGAAAGATATGTAAATGGATAATGATGATACAGTGGGGCAAGGTCAATAATAAGATTAATTATTTGGTGTTTGCTGTCAACACATAGTTTGCTAAAATACCAGTATAGATATTTCACCTTGAAATCCTCAGGGACATACTCATTTTTGCATTCCTCCACCCAAAATTTTAGGAAAATGGCCCTTAGGGGTTGTGGAACAGAGTGATTAGCTGTATGGTGGGGGGGATTTAAATGATGCTCTCCAGAAGTCACCTTGTAAGAACTACCCACAGATAAATATCATTACAACTGCAATGAGTCATCTGAGAGATGGGTTCTAGGAGGAAAGTGGAGGTAAGAAGGTGAGAAGGCCTGTACTGATCTGAGCATTTGGAGAAGGTTTCCTTGAAATCATGGCTTTTAAGCTAAAGTCTGAAGGATTTAACAGGGGTTCCATAAAGGAAGGAGTGTTTCAGACAGAAGTAACAGGGAGTTCAAAGCTGCTGAGGCAGGATGGAGCTTGTCCATTGGTCTCTTTGCCAAGAACTAGAGGAAGAAACATGAAGAATGATGGGCAAGTAAGAAAGTGGCCTGAGATGGTCCTTGTATCACACCCTCAGAGAGGCCTTCAGGGACTGAAGAACAGCCCCTTCACACTGTCCCTTTCCCATGACCCTATAGGGGTTTCATTATTGCAGTTCTCTTAAATTACCTTTATTTATGTGATTACTTTTGCTGTCTATTTCCCCCCTCTTGAATGTTGGTTCCAATAGCACAGGGAACTCAGTTCAGTGCTCTGTGATGACTTAGAGGGGGATGAGGGGTAAGAGGGAGGTCCCAGATGGAGAGAATACATGTATGTATACATATAGCTGATTCACTTTGTTGTATACAGCAGAAAATAACTAATTGTAAAGCAATTATACCCCAATTTTAAAAAAGATAGACCTTGTCTGTCTTACTATCTTTGTAACTTCAGCCCTAAGAGAAACTGAGAAACAGATTATGGTGGTTGAGATCAATACACAATACGATGTCAGTAAGAAAGGACAGAAAACGATAAATTTCAGAAATAGCAAAAAGGTAGGATTCCCAGACTTGGTTTTTTTTTATGTGAGATTTGGAGATGAGTAGAATCCAGCCTTTAATGAGGAGGAAGAGGCAGTTGTGTGTGTTTGCTGGTTGAGTCCAGTAGAGATTCCTAGCTTCTTTCTCAGTCAAATGAAATCTGAGGGGCATGAGACATCCAAAAGCTATTGTCATGTAAGAAACTGGCTGGGGGGGAGGTTTCATCAGGAAACGGGAGGCTGGGGGCCTTGAGTGCAAAGGAGGACGTGGATCCAAAGTAATAATTAAGGGCTGAAAGTGACAAGCTTCAGTGTGAGAACATAAGGGGCCCAGGCCGTGTCTCTGAGGATCTCAGGAAGAAGAGGAGAGGCCTACAGAGCCGAGTGGGGTGGGGTGGAGGGAGGAAACCCAAAGAATGCAGGTCAAGGAGCCGGGGAAGAGCGCGCTTCAGGAAGGAAGCAGTCTTCCACCTGTGGTTTTGGATTGGTTTCCAAGACAACGGCCCTCCGGCCAGTGTGTCTAGTCAGCAAACATTTAGGCTTCATTTTCTCATGCTACTGTACCCAAGGAATAACACCAAGGAGAGACTGTTACCTAAAATAAGATCACATTTCCAATAGCACAGTGAACGATGGGACCATGGCAAGGTGGTCCGGGGGATTGGCTGGATTAGAATGAGGCTGTTACAAAAGACAGGGCCAGTAGTGGGTGGAAACAAGGTGGTACCAGAATCACAGGGGATGAGTATCGTATGTCATGAATATGTTGTCAATGTGTTGGTGAGGAAACTGCTGTTTTATTTTATTTATTTTTTAAACAGGTAGAATTATTTAAATTATTTATTTATTTTTGTTTCTTGGCCACACTTTATGGCATATAGGATCTCAGTTCCCTTACCAAGGATCAAACCCATGCCCCCTGCATTGGAAACACTGAATCTTAACCACTTAACCACCAGTGAAGTCCCACTGCAGTGTTATTTTAAAGTTACTAGTGCTAGAGTCCCAACCCTTCCAGGGCCTGTGTTTGCTGTCCTTGGAGGGTCAGTGAGGATGGAGAAGAGAGAGAATTGAAGTAGGTGGGAGTCAGAGGAGAGGATGAGGAGAGTTGACTTTTCAGTCTCAACAATCAAGTATTGATCACAAGAAGCAGAATGTGGGCTGCATAGATGATGTTTGCATAGTTCTATTGTCAAAGGAAAACAGTTGTCAGGTTCATTTGAAAACCAAATTTCTTATTTGATCTCTTGGTTCATGTCATTATAGATCCAGGTTGTTGAAAAAAAATGCACACACACTTTTTCCAAGGAATGGTGTAGCTTGAGATGGTGCCTGTGAAAACTCTATTACATCTTCTGGGACCATATGCATTTGAGGGCAGCCAGAAATTTATGACACAATTGCAGAACTCATGAGATTTAAATCTATGCTTTACAAACATATGGACACTTAACACAACCATGGAATAAATTGAGGGCATATATCTCTCTGCTTGGTAGAGTTCTTTCTGATCAGCAGAAATCACACTGAAGATACAGGAGGAGATGCAGAAGGCCCCCATGTTGGCACGTCTCACATGTAAGTTGACACCACTGGAAGTGGTGTAAGTTGACACTTCTTTTTAAAAGAAAATCAATTCAGTTCAAGATATTAACAGAGCATCACTCGAGATAGTGAATTTCCACATGAATCATCATCTATGGCTCCCTCCTCCTTAGTGTTTTAACATTTTGTACCTTCATTTATCTGCTCATTCAGTCAGCAAATATACACACACACTACTGTGATGGTGAACAAAATGAATGCCATCTGTCCTCAAAGAGTTCACACTCTAAACAAAAAGAAAATAAGAAATAAGCAATTACAGTGCAGTGTGTTCAGGTAAGCACAGATGTCATAGGATTCAGAATCAGATTTTGGCAAAATTTATCCTGAGCCCTGAAGGGTCAGTCAACTGAGTGTGTATAGGAGAGTGTCCTTTTCTTTTAGAAAAACACATAAGTATCAGGGCATCATGTCTGCATATAATAGTCAAATAATTCAGGGAGAAAAACATAAGAGATAGAGATTAAGGGGAGGGAGAGAAATGTAAGTAAACATTAACAACTGTTGAACTTGGGAGTTCTTTTTACTGTTCCACCAATATGTCTGTAAGGTTAAAATTATTTCAAAGTAAAAATTAAATTTTAATTAAGAAAATATGTAGCTACAAGTTCAACAGTATTTTCTATATCTCAATATTACTTCAGACTTTTTCAAGTATTCTGCTACTCTGTAGGTATCTTACAATGTTACTGCACACTTTTCAAGTATGATACTATCTTACCCTGAAGATAAAATTATATTTCATCTTATTTTCTTTCATCATACTTTTGGTGCTTCATTTGAAAAAAAAATTGTTAGCAAGAAATACACATTTTAATGTATGACTAATACATAAAACTTGCAAAAATTTTAAGTAAAAAATTTCTAATATATAAATGATATAATTTAGGAACAGATGTCCATTTTTGTTCTCCATGGAAGTAACAGGTCAATTTTCTCACTCTCTCTTTCCTGGTTAGGTCTCATATGTCAAAGCTATTGATATTTGGATGGCAGTGTGCCTCCTTTTTGTGTTTTCAGCACTTCTGGAATATGCAGCGGTAAATTTTGTATCAAGACAACACAAAGAACTTCTGAGATTTCGACGAAAGAGAAGGAGTAAGGTAAGTGATTAAATGCATGAAGTTCCTTGGGATACAATTCTCCCTGTAAAGTGAATTTGTTATGTTTAATAGGAATGTACAGAAAGAAAATGGAGACAGGAATTCAAAGAGATGACTGTCCTTTGATATTGTCCAACTGAAACTTACGTTGTCAAAAATTGCTTCAAGGAGAAAATAGTAACATCTAGCTGCTTTACAATACTTCACACAGCAGATCTGGTGACATGAGAGCTTTATAAACTTCTTTCTAATATCTGTCCTGGAATAACATCATTTTTTGCTTCAACTAATAAAATCTATCATTTCTTATTTGTAACGCTGTAATGTTTCTGATGGCTTTACTTGACACAAGTCATCAACTATTGCTATTAATTTTTTCTTTTTTTGAACTAATTCCTTGAATGTTTTAATCAAACATTATCGGTTTATTTTATAATACTCTGATGTTCACATAAAGCTGTGTGGTCTCTTTTTTATACATATTTTTGTGTTTTTGAGACATTTCTTCTAGATCCCCATTGGAAACACAGTAAGGTGTATTTTTGCCTTGCTATCACCTGATAAATCAGGAACATCCTTGGGAGACCACAGGAAACTGTAGAAGTAATCTTCTAATTGGATTTGGATGTACAGGATGAGGTTGTTTCCCTCTAATAAGACTTATAAGGTCATCTCTCTTTATATGTGCATAATTTCAATCAACCCTTTTCTTTTTCTGAAAGAGTTTCTATCAGCCAACCTATTTTTGAGTTTACGTTTAATGTGAATGTGCCAGCTGACATTTTAAAAAAGCAAATAGACTCAAGCTATAGAGAAATGTCAAAGTCATATATTATAGGGGAAACTGTGACCAGAATCCAATATACTGAGATATTTAAGTCGAAACATTCTTAAATCTTAAAATGAATAGTCTGGTTTATATATTGCATACATTTTTAAGAATTTAATTTTTAAGGAATTTCTTATGGTTTCTGAAGGACTGACTGTAATTTATATATTTATAAAATGTTTTAAAAAACCCTAAGCCATGATCTCTCAGTGCTGAGTCTACTCAATTTAAACATCAGAAGCAATAATTTATTCAGTAGTATCTAATTGATACTACTGAATACTAATACTAATTGATACTACTGATACTAATCATCACCTGCTCCGGTAAACATCCCGATTCACTGTAGCATGGGAAAAATTTCAGCATTGCAATACTCTGGGTAAGACGACTGACAGAAAACAATGCCAGAGCTTGTATTTGACCAATTTTTTATAAACATTAAAGCACATCATTTATATATTAACATATATTTTCGTGGAGAGATTAACTTTATCTCCTGCCCCAGCCTCTCCTGGTCTGCTGGTGTCCTTACGCTTTTCTCACCTGCCTCCCCGTCTCTCCCCTCCCCTTCTTTCTAACCTCCGTTACTTCTCATTTGCTCCTCTCTCTCATGATACCTGGCACAGGCTGAACATGGTGATAAGACAGAGCATTCTGTATCCCAGGAGTGAAGGTGTGGTCACTTTTTTCCCTCCTGAATGACTGATCAAGACAATTTTTCCTTCCAACATCATGAATCAAAAGTAAAGCATCTTTTAGTTCCCCCTCTCATTTTGATTCACTTTTTCACATTCTACATTTTTCTACCTTTCTTCTCCTTCCTTCAGTGTAGGATGTATCAGCCACGTGCTGCCAACACCAGAAATGAGGGGTGTACACAGGTGGTGTTCCAAGGGGAGATGAGAGCTCAGACCTTTTCTGCACCCACCACATATGTCAATGGATAACATAATGCTCTATAAATTTAGACACACATTTCTGGTTCTTCCTTAAAAAAAAAATCCATACCACAGCAACTCTTTATTCAGTTTTACCACCTGTAAGTGTATTGGGATAAAGATATTTGACACCCTTTATTATTTAGCTCACAGAAAGACAGCAAGATTAATTTTTCTAGTGACTGGCACTCTAGAAAAGTGTTGAAGTGCAAAAATAGTAACATCTGATTATATTTCTAATCACCATTTGAAATACTCAGTGAACATATATTGTAATTAAGATATAGTGCAGTAAAGAAATTTTTTTTTTTTTTTAGTTCATACTCTGGGGCTGGATAGCTTGTCTATGTGAGAAACTATTAATTGATACATACGTTTGTTTAGATGATCTGTGCAATGAAAGCCAATTGTGCAATTATATTTTAACCATCTATGACTTGATTCTCTGGTTTCTCAATCCCTGTTGGTCCACTTTACCTTCCCACAGACAGAAGCTTTTGCATTGGAGAAGTTTTACCGTTTCTCAGACACGGTAAATTCATTTTCTTAACTCTAAGTAGAAGAATGTGGTCATCAGTTTAAATAAAAAGCAGACAGCATCCTCTGCACTCAGGCAGTGTTGGGTGGGGAAACACAGACCCCTGCACACTTAGAGCTGAACAACCACCAATCCCCTTCAGCTAAGGATATTCTCTTTTTCTGACAATTCCCTTTGTCTCTCTTTACTCAGTATAAAAAATTTGAAATGTTATCTTTCATTCTATGAACTGAGTTATTTGTTTGGTTGAAATAATTTTTAAAAATATATTAAACAGAAATATCACATGTATCTTATAATATTCTCTGCAGAGAAAATAATCATACAAAAATAGTTGCAAAATAGATGCAAAATAGATGCAAAAATAGTTGAAAAATAGATGGGACGTTTATTTGTACAAATAAGTTCTAAAAACGTCTCCTCTTGCCAGAAAACAGAGACCTAAAAATAAGGCAAAAATAAAATGCTTTCTCCAACTTATGTATCTTTAGAAACTATTTTTAATGTTAAGAAATGTTGAGATTCTTTAGAGTAAATGAATGATTTTGGTTTTGATTTCAGCATCCTTAAAAATATTTGATTAAAAATAGATCACAAGGACACACCTCCAATTAGAATGGCTCAGTGTGTAGAAATGTAATCTACAGTAGGGCATATTAGTGATTTGACTTGGAGATCATAATATATCACTCTGATTAAATTTTAAATATACTCAAAGCCAAGAATTTAGCTTGGGAAATCATATTCAAACAGTCCAGTCTACTAAATTAAAATTTCTGGAATAAAGTATATTAAAAACTACCTCTCCTGATGATTTTTACCACAAATCTCAGTTAAGAATAGACATAACTAGGTGAATACACAACAGACATACTGTTAGATGAATAGTGAAGTGATCTTAATTTCATAACAAGTGTCTAGATCAAAGATTATTTTAAAGTAGCTATTAATTATATTTCTATATTATAATGCTCCCTCTACTATTTTTCTTTTCTACTAAAATTTCATAGTTGTTCCCGCTGTAACTACATACTTCAATTTTCATCCCTGGGGGGAAAATTCACATGATCCAATTAGTTTTATGCGATTATTCTAATTTTAAAAAAAAATTCATTGCTTTGAATTTTCATAATGACACATAGTTGCCTCTTTGGGAGAGGTATACATTTAAATTTTCAGTAACTAAACAGTACATAAGGAGTGTTAGTATGAAATATATATTCAATTATATATTGCATGACAAAACAGTGCAAAAATAACTCTGATGAAAATACAGATTTCCTTTGCTAGCATTCAATAAATACTTATTTTTTAAAAGAGAAACAATATGGTTTACTAACTATATTATTTAAGAAAATTCAAATACATTTTACAAATACAATAAATGCAAATACATTTGATTAGAAATATATGCATCACATTTATTTTTATAACATTCTAATTATCATTCAGGTTGATGATAATTAAGGTTGATCTTTTTCACTTTTTGAAAACAATTTTTCTCAACCTATAGCCCTCTGGGCCAAATGAATTCATCATTAAAAAAAAACCAAAAGTATCTACTTTGCTTAGTGACAGTCTGAGCAATCTAAATTATTAAATTAATATAATCAAGATAAGTTTAAAAATTAACTGAATACCCTTTCTTTTTATGAGTACTGAGTTGAATGTTTTTCATAGTATTTTAATTCAGCAGAAGAAGCAGTAAATAAAATTGCCCCATTATAGAAAACTTCACATAACAAAGGGCCTTACACTGATAAACATATTATTCCAGGGAAAGTTTTAACTTGGTTTAGCATTTGGCCTAGGCACTGCATGGGATCTTTTACACCTTACCTTTTCCCCTATAAAGGTACAAGGGATCCTTTTTGTATACTATGAAAGAATACACATTCGCACTTGTATCCAAATTTCCCCACCCCACACTGTTTTAGCCTGCTGTGTGCCAATCACACACCACCGCACCCTGCCATAAATGCTTATCCCCAGTGCTGTGTGTGTGGGTGTATGCATGATACAAAAGTATTTTGGTTAGAAGCTGCTCTCCCCATGTATGATATCATTACTTTAGTCCTGGACGGTTTAAACACATGCATAAATATTTCTGAACATATGTAATTTGTTGAGAAATATGGATGATATGGGATTGCTTTAATGCATTTCATACAGCTTTTGCTTTGCAATGTAACAATGCAAGTTTGCTGAGCGAAAATACATACACGTGGTGTTCTAGTATATCTTCCTGCTTATTCTTGTATATTGTTACTTGTGTATGCAAATGAAATAAGAATGGACCACAAATTCTAGATTCAAAAACTAATTGCCAAGTGTATATTTTTGCTTGTTTTCTTTTTAAAATAATTGACTGTGTTTTGATTACCTGTACAAAAACTTATTTATGTATGTATTTATGTCCTGTATCACTTTAAAAAGTAACTCAAGGTAACTATTAAGAATAACAAATAATTGATTTTTCTGCCTTGTATTAATACCCTTTGTGAGGTCTAGAATATAAATATGAAAATAAATATAAATTTAGGACAGATATAAATATGAAAAATGTGAAAAAAGTGTCAGTCGCTCTGTTGTGTCCGATTCTTTGTGACCCCATGGACTGTAGCCCACCAAGCTCCTCTGTCCATGGAATTTTCCAGTCAAGCATACCGGAGTGGATTGCCATTCCCTTCTC